CAACAATATAACTGGTGTTGAGAATTATCATCCATTCTTGCAACACGTTCTCTCAGGTCTCAGTGATTTTTTTCTTTTAGGGAAATTCATCATCTAATATGTAAATCTTGCTAATCTGTCATTAGTAGCTGTAAAATATTCAGTAGTTGTCTTTTTATCACTACGTTTCAAAGTGACAGTTTGCTTTTTTTTTTTTTTTGGTTTCTGGTGTTTAGATGTTGTGCCAAAGAAAAGATTTGGGATTTTTCAGGGTCTGAAGGGTGTCAGGTTATTATATTGGATCGAGGCATGTTGTTTATGTTTGAGATGTCCAGCTGGTGAAGGATCACTTGGTTGCATTTGATCACAGTTTTCACTTCGATGAAGGGAACTGCTCAGAGGTGGTCCTCACTGCAGGACTGCTGATGCATCACATGCATATCCCCTCACTGGCTCCGTTTTGCTTTTCTTTTCTCCTCCCTTTCGTCTGTATACGCCTCTCTCTCCCTTGAACTTGCTTGGTGGGTGTTAAGAGAAGAAAACTGAGGTGTGTGTTTGCAGTAAGATATTGACGCTTACAACAACAGCTGCCAGAAGAAGCAGGGGTTGAAGGTCAGTACTCATACTGGTGACTGTAAAGAAATAGAAAAAGAGGAGAGATTCATGAGAACGGTGGGTCAAGGAGTTTACAATTTGTGTTGCGTGTAACGGGACGTCATAGTGAAGTCATGAAGAATGCACATGACTCACTTTGGTTTAGAGTTACAGAGGACCAGGACATCAACAGATGATGCTGCTGACATTTAATATGCAGAGGATATATTTGTGTGAGTGTAGTGTACAAGAGTGTGTGATGACGACACTACATTTATAATAAATGGAAAATGTGAAAAATTTATAAATGGACATACAGCAGTATAATGACAAACCTCCGGTCTACAAGTTGCATCTACAACTTCAAGTTACATATTATCAAGTACGTTTAAGTAATTTTCGTTTTTTTTATGTATGAAATGTTTTTAAGGCAAAATTATATTGCTTTCAAATATTATATTATGTAGAATAAAAGCAAGGAAAGTAAAGTTGAAGAAGAGCAGCACTATTAAAAAAATTAGTGGCTGTGTCTGAAATCACCCCCTATACCAGGGTTCCTCAAATCTTGCCCTGGAGGGCCAATGCGCTGCAGAGTTTAGCTCCAACCCTGATCAAACTCACCTACCTGTGATTTTCTAATGATCCTGAAGACATTGATTAGCATGCACAGGGGTGTTTGATTAGGGTTAGAGCTAAACTCTGCAGGAAAGTGGATCTCGTGGGCCAGATTTGAGGATCCCTGCCCTATACCGTAATATAGTGCGCTATTTGAGGGAACAGCCATTTGTGGTGGTTTTATCGAATGCATTCACTAAATCCCACATTGTACTTCAATAATAAGCGTACAGCCAATGTACAATGAATGGCTAGCCGCTAGAGAATACCAATTTACTGTGAGCGTCAAGTCAAATTAATTCCTGTGTCTCACCAGAAGATGGCATCTGCAAAACAGCACATGTGTGTGTGTATTCGCAGTTTACCTCGGCAGCTCTTCCCATCTCTTTGCAGCATTCCTGTCACACAGCTGCACACAGCGCCTGTTACTTGACTTGTGCAGATCTGCTCACAGCCACCATTATCCTCTTCACACCAGTCTGAATCTAAAACACACATACACACACACTGTTATAGCTGTAATCACCTTGCTAATACGCACATACACAAAACACCCAATTATACACCCACATCCTATTGCCGCCACTATTAAACTACACACACATTCCTCACTCTCTCTCACACACACACACACACACACACACACACACAGGTCATGCATTCATGCATAAATCTAAAATATACTCCATACCTCTTTTTCTGATTGGTCCCACTGATAGGATCTGTTCTTTATGCTGACTGTAATCTGTATAACTTCGTTTGTTATGAGGGCAATTCTGTAAAAGCAAAAAGCCATTCTGAATCCAAAAGAAGCACTTATCCAAGATGATTGATGGAGAGATGAACAAGATGCAAAAACATCACCAAATCCACACTAAATCATGTTTGTATTTGTCAGACCAAGCCATGTTTTAGTGGCACATTATGTACCAACCCCCTTTACCATTGTCTCTATTGTTGTAAATGGCAAAACAGCTAAAAATAAAATAAAAAGGTGTTTGTCGATGTGTGTGTGTGTGTGTATACAAGCTCTCACCACTTTGCAGGTGTTGGTCTCTGAGTCACAAAGAGAGACGTCACAATGCAAATGCACCTCATCATAATCACCAATGAACTTAAAGACAGTGACGTGGAAGCGGCAGGTGAGGGACACGCCATTCTCAGCCATGCCTATAGTGTTATCCTTGATGTTAGGACACCTGGAATTACAGTCATGTGAGAGCTGTAAACTCATTGGTATGTATTTGGTTGTGTAGTCCTCTTCTGAACTTTGTGCAGTATTTGAATATGTTATTATGTTAAATATGTATTGACATATGTGTATGGCTCTTTTCATGAGCTATTTGCTTACCCTCTCTCTATGATAATGTAACGAAGGCGATCGCTGCTGTAACGAGATGGTGTAGCCCAGCACATGTTCACAATGAGAATAAGCTGTTTATCATCTGCTCCTTCCACAAACACCCCCACAAACAGAATGTCCCTGGTGCTCAGCACCACTTCTCCCTCACGGTATGGATGTCGGTATGAGGCGTTCTTGTAAAGGGCCATTTTTGTGATGAAGTTGCCCTCTTGGGTCGGTAGAGTGAGGTTTATTACACTGTGGACAATAGAAAAAGGGAGTTTTATCCTTATCATATTATGTTATCTATATCGTGCTTGTCATTTATGATAATAAATGTGGTTGTTCCATGATACACAAATAACATGGTAATACAGTGGTAGTTTTTGGGGTTTTTTTTGTGAGGGGTGAATGTCTGACCTGAGCATTGGCTTCAATACTGTCTCCAGGGAGATCTTGATGTCCAGTTCATAAGCACAAGAAAACTCCACATTGATGGTCTTATCACGCGTCACTACATTCCCTGTGTTGTTCACACTCTCGATCCACACCGTGTTCTTGTACATAATGTGTGTTCCATTTGACTAGACTCACAAATACACACACATGAACACACACATAAAGTTACTGTGAATTTAATTACCTTTCCACAGAAAATAACATATTCAGCCAAGCAGACAGCACATCAAGTATGCACACAATGAAAATTAGATTATGAAAAGCAAAAACACAATGAGAATAGTATCTTCTGCTGTAAATCTGAAAGTCATGAACAGTTGCAAAAGATCTCTCTTGAAAACACATTTGGAAAGCAGTTTCAAAATGTATTGTGTACCAATCGGAGTAATTTAGAACTAAATCAGCAAACATTTAATAATCTTATACAGTGAACCAGAAAGACTATTTTGTCCTCAAAAAATGTTGTAATATTTATCAAACCATAAGACTAACTTCAGCTCATTAGTATTTGAATTATGGATGGTTTAATGAAAAAACATATTTTGAGTGTTTAACTCCAAAAACTCTATTAGAGCTCTACGGTTATATCTAAACCAAAATCAAGAAGACAAGAACTCCTGCTTAAATAGCTTTTTGGAACACACTTTCTAGGTGGACAGTGTTCTTCACATGACCCGCACAAGAGACTTGTTGTAACGTTATTTTTAATTTTTAATAGTATTTTCGTCGGTTCCGTCCGCCACATTGGAAGAAAGCTCTTCGCTGAACTCATCGCAAGACAGCAAAAGATCTGCATGAAAATGCTTAAATTTTCAGTGGAAAAGATGTTTCTCAGAAGGTAAAATTATTCCCCAAATTAAAGTGTGCATTAAGAATGCTTTCTGACCCGGCATAGACAGCAAGGGAACTACCACGTTCAAGGCCCAGAAAGGTAGAGAGGACATTGTTAAAATAGTCCATGTGACATCTATGGTTCAACCTTAATTTTATGAAGCTACGAGAATACTTTTTGTGCAAAAAGAAAACAAAAATAAAATTAATGTTAGTACCACAACGCATGCGTGTGCATTCCTCTACTTGTAAATGCCAGCTCCTGTGTCAGCAGCACCACATGCAAGCATCGTGGAACTCTTGTGAATGGTGGCGAAGACTGACACGAAAGAGAAGAATTGTTGAAAAAAGTCGTTATTTTTGTTTTCTTTGCACACAAAAAGCATTCTTATAGCTTCATAAAATTAAAGTTGAACCACAGATGTCAACCACAGAATTCTCATTTTTGGGTGAACTATCCCTTTAAGCTGTCCTAGCTGGTCTAAGCTGTTGCTCAAGTGTCTTTTCTCTATACAAATGTGCACCAAACCTGAACTTCTTTGCTTGTATTCGCATATATGTAAATGGATGTGAATGGAACAGTTCATTTTCTTTACCAGGACCAGTACTTTCCACTCTCTCAAGAGGCAGAGCTCTTAGTGTCTAAACTGAGACAGTCTGATCCTGAACAATTGTTAATGAGGGAAAAGAGGGATTTGTTCACCTGTACAATAGAGCCACAATGTCCCTTGGTATTGTTTATATGGAACGAGATGAAATCCTCTCCCTCGATACCAGCACAGTGCTGGTCGTTAATTCGTACGTCCTCTCTCTCAAAGCCCAACTGGAACAAACGGCACTTAGAGATAGAAACCTCCATCTGAGCGTGTTTACAGGTCACCTCTGCCTGGATGATGTCATCCTCACCTACACCACAAGAACAAGATGTTCTGTATTGTCTTTTTTCAATATTTCATACCAATTCATAATGTGACCTTTTAATTTAGCAGTTAGCCTGCTGCTATAACATAAAAAGTAACTAGTGCAGGATAATGTGACTGGGTTTACTACTTAGGGTAAGGGGTTTAAGTATGAGCAATAATGATAAAAACAACTTCAAAGAGACCCTACAAAGGATTTATATTTATTTGGATTTATATATTTGTTTCACTCACTAATGTCAGTGCTGGGTAGCTCAGGGCAGCCACACAAATCTCCTCCATTCTCCTGCTCACACGTGTTGTTAGAGCAGATCTCTCCTGCACAGGGGTCATAGATCCATTCTGCTAAAGACAGGTCCAGTTACAAAGTTAGCACAGAAAGTTTCTAATAAAATATTTAAGTTTTGTCAAAATTGTGAAAGTGACTTGTGATAATCTTGGAAGCATGGACAAAAAATAATAAAACAAATAATACATATAAAATGTACTTCTAAAAATGACAATTGAGCTGTGCTGCCTTTCACTTTCTACACTTCTCCATCTTATCCTGTAGGTGGCAGCGTCCTCTTACAGCAGTTCTCCTGGGCGATCCACTTGGTGGTAAGTGTGCCGAAAGAGCGGCAGGCCTCAGCGTAGGCTGCCATGGAGCCGCACACCTGGGCCTTACGGTGGTTGTAGCAGCCGTCCATGTAGCAGGACTGGTAGAAGGGGTGAGGGTCCAGTAGGCCGTGGCAGGGCTGGAAGAAACCTTTAAAATCTGTGAGCTTCAGACAGTTTTCTTCTCCCTGGAGCTCTGATACTGCTGTATTATCACAGGATTGAGCCAGGGCCACATACTGCGTCTCATCACAACTACAGGCAAGAGTCAGGCAATGGAGGATAGAAAATGAGAGGCAACGATATAAGGACAGGGTGAAACTAATGAGATGAGTGATAAATATAACGGCACACTTTTTCTTGCTAACCTGTTCTGCATGCCATTGGTTTTCCAACTCTGAGCGAGCTCCAGTGCACTGACGGCAGGTTTTCCACGAGAGGTGATATAATCATCAGTGGGGTCCCCATTGAAGTTCCCACACAGTCCGCATACCTTGTTCTGCAGCCGTGGGCCCATTGTAATGCTGAGGATGTTGAATCTGTTATAACGCACCTGGATGTCCTGGGGAGTGTCGATCACCAGGAATCCCTCTGATGTGGATACTCGTGTCATTAGACCTGTGACAAAAGGTACGGACACGGGCGTACCATTTACCTGAGGTAAAAGAGGAAAACACTTAGCATTTAGCTAGGAGACATTTAATGTCTTAATCATTAGAGTAATTTCATAGTCAACATATAAAAAGCAATCGCAAAATCCATCCTCTAAAGCAGGGTTTCTCAACTCTGGATCCAATCTCCATTTTCCTGTAGAGTGTGGCTCCAACTCTGATCAAACTCAACTGTTTATCACATTTTAGTAATCCTGAAGACCTTTATTAAGCTTGTCCAGATGTGTTTGATTAGGGTTGGAGCTCAACTCTGCAGGACAGTGGACCTCGAGGGCTTGAGAGGTTGAGACACTCTGCTCTAAATTTTCATTTTGAAATACCAGTTTCTCCTTTAAATTCTCCTAGGAAATTCAAGACCACTTCACCTGAGTGATGTCCTGTCCCATACATAATTTGCAGTACAAATTCGTTGTTCCTACCTTGACTGTGTTTCCGGAGATGAGAATGTTCTCCTCGTTGATGTAGAGGTAAGCATGGGAGATGGTGGTTAGGTTGGGTGTACTCCACTTGTCAAAATTGGCAATGAGTTGAAAAGATAACTCAGGCAGCTTGTGACAGATCGTTGAAAGAACAAAGGAGCATGAGGCAGGTAAACGAATAGAGGCACCATCAAAAGTACGGAAGACGCCGCCGCCCGATGCTACACAGTGCTGATTACGTCGGGCAAAGCATCCTCGCACACCATGACGTAGTATACATTCCTCCTCTGCTTTGCATCGCCTTGGGTCACACTGAATCAGATTCCGTCCAATACACTGACAGCGTTTAGTGCAGTCACTGTTCCAGAACAACTGCTTAGGCTGAGAAAATAGAGTGAAAACAACGACAACAACAACAACATATTTGCATTTCAAGAAAAGGCAGAAGAGGAATGCTAGCTCTCTTCATTTTCTGGAAAACATGAGTGGGGGTTGTCCATACAAAAGCTGGTAAAAAAGGGGGGGGGATGGTAATTGATCATACTTAATTCAGTGTCTTTTACTTTTATCACTCTTAACTTTTATGGAGTAAAACAATTACAATTTAATCATATCTTATTTATTATTTCATAATACAAAATAATACATTTTATGACATTTTTGCTTAAACACATGAAAAAAAATGCAGATGTAACAAGACAAAATATATTAACACATTTTTACTAGTTAAACAGATTGGATACAGAGACTCATTAAGAAAAGTGTGGCAATGAAATAAAACACTTTTATTGCCAATAATAGGTATTGTATTGTATACTGCATGGTTTTAATAGATGTTTATTGTATTTGATGTATTGTCTAGTTTTGTGACATGCTGTCATACCTCATAGTATTTACCATCCGTGTAGCATCCACAGTTCTGACTGAGGATACAGCTCTTGCCGTTGAGCACAAAGCCTAGGTCACACTGGCACCCCTCAACACAGTACTGGTTACAGTCTTTCTGTCCACGTGCAGGGGCACATTGCGGCTGGCACACCATCATACAGCTGGAATAGTGGCTGTTCAGAGGGCACGACAGGACTGGGCACACATAGAGTTCATTGGATGGGTGAGTTTCTCCAGAAGTAAAGAGGAGGATGTATTGCATTTCACTTTAAAGGGCTTATATAAATGTGTGGCATTCACGGGGCTTTGATTGTAATAAAGTGTCTTGTAGTTTTTATGTTGGCAAAACAGAATATTTGTAAATTAAGACATGGCTTGTGGTTAGCCAGCGTAACAGCAAGCATTAAGGGGTTTTGGAATAGCGTTTTCATGTAAGCCCTAAAAGTGCAAACAATATTTGCATTTAAATGCATAAAAATGACAATACTTTTCATAACAGCCTCATAAATCTTTCAAATCTTTAAAATTGCTAGGGTATTTTGGCTGTTAAGTGGCCGTTTACTGGTCCAAGTCAAAAGAACCCACCCTCAAGTGTCTGATATTCTAGTTTCTAAAAATGGGTCCAGCTCCTCCTTCACTGTAAGTCTATGTTTTGTTTTGTTTTGTCATCCAGCAGGTGAAAATCTGATCCCTTAGAAAATAAACAGCACATCTCTCCTTAATAAGCCACACGTTTTACTGTAGAACAAACCCCTAACCTCAAGTATGAGGAAATAAAATTGCAATACTTGCTTTAGAAAGCACCATTCATTTTTATGCATAAGATTGTGACATGAGTAAATGAACATAAATGAAAATATTTCTCACCACAGGGTGTGGAACTTCTCCAGCCAATGACAGACACTCCTTGTGTCTGACAGGTATTGGCATAAATCTGTAGCCAATTACAGATGGTCTCTCTCGCACCTTGATCCACACATGTATCCTGCAGACAGCTCTGGTAGAAGTATGCTGGTGCCACTTTGCTGTGACAGCGCGCAAACACACCTCCACGGTCTATTATAAGTCCACATAATCTCACCGCCTCAGGTTCGACATACACATACAGCCCTTCAGCAAGGTGGAAACGGTTTCCTGGGTTACCCTCATCCATCTCAATGTTACCAACAGCATCTGTTACTTGGGCGGGGACCTCAGCAGCTAGGCCCCTCTCAGCCAATCCACAGCGAGGACAAGAGTCCCCGCAACCAACTTGGCAGAAGGTGTCACGTTCTGCCCATGCCATGCCCCATTCTGTGACACTTAGAGTGGGACCAGTAATAGGCATTCCTTGGCAGAGCCCACAGGTGGCGTTAAAGAGACTGCGAGGAAGAGTCAGAAGCAGTAGAGTATTCCAGTCAAAAGCCACCTGTAGAGATATTAACTGTGTATTAGCTTACACAGTGGATAATGTTGTAATCTGAGGAGTTTTGCTTTTTTCCCCCTGTGTACAGTATGTTGCAATATGTATTTTGATCTGTACTCCACCTTCAGTCCAAAGTCTGTCTCCACAAGTAACTGCAGACCAAGGGTGTAGATGTTAACTTTCCCTGGACCAAGTTTTATAGGCAGATACAGGCGCTCTTTATTCACCTAAAAGAGATTAAAAAAAATATTGACATTTGTTTCAATAATAGCAATCAAATCTGTTTGGTACATAATACGTCTCATCTCCTGGCTATGCTTCTTATATCATCTCATTTGATCAATCTGTTGTTCATTGTCTATCATTACTCTCTATACTTCTATCTATACAAAAGCCAGTTTCATTATGATTCACTCTGTCTCTCAATTTCTAACTTGGTTTTCTTCTCCCCTCAATCTTTATTTGATCTAAAGTTCCTCAGATCTTCCAGTGATGTTGTGAACTCATTCCAGACGTCACTCAGTTATACATTTCCCTCTGTATCTGGTCCAGTATGCTAACAGATGCTGGCTGAAATATTATACCCCTCACCTGAAAAAATTTACTCTTTTGTTTAGCTCTTCTCTCTGGGCTGATTAAAACAACTTTGTATCATAAAAAGGAGGAGTTTGACCTTCAAAAGGTGGAGTTCTAGAATTACAGAGGAATTCTTGTGATTATAAAATGTCTGCCACTCGTGCAAATGACCAAAAAGTGTATCAGTAGCTGTCTGTTTCAGGTGCAGGTGTAGAATTTTGTATTGATCCAAATCAGCTTTGGCTGCTGGATCACGTTTGTACATGCAAATATGAACAAGCTATTTGTGGCACTCTAATTGATTTAAGTTGCATGCTAATTACAATTCTTGAACATGTCCCTGTTTAAAACAAAGCTAACAAAAGCATAAGATTCACATTAGTCATAAATAACACATACAACACATAGCTCAGGACAATCTTACCGTGACTGTGTGTTTGAAACTTTGTGACACCTCAATTTCATATCCATAGACCTCCAGAACAAATCCCCGCACCCATATAGCCTGGCCTGTGTCTCGCTCTTCATTCCGAGCTGAAAACTGGAACCTGGGCAGTCCTCCCAGAACTGTCTCTGCACTCTCTAGTCCCCCAAAGCCATCCTCGTCCCCCTCTCCACACTCAGTAGTGGCCAGACGGAGAGTACAGCTGCTCTGGAGGTCAAATGGTACACCTCCAAATGGCAAAAAGTGTCCATAACCAGCAACAACACACATGGCCTCTGTCCTTGGCTGACAGAAAAACAGGCCTTCATTCTCCTGGCAGTACTCCTCTGGGTGACAGGGTGAGAAGGTGCAGTAGACACTGTTGTCTGTGCCGTTGCAGTAGCAGCGCTCCTGGCACTCCCAGTCTGTCCAGAATGTCTCATTGGTGGCTAGCTGCCGGCCCAGGTAGAAGCAGCCACAATCGCTACGTGCCACACAGATGCCATCACGGAGGGCAAATCCCTCTTCACACTGGCAGCCCTCGGAGCAGGGTAGAGGGCATGGCTCCTCAGGATCATCCAGGTTAGAGCAAGTGAGAGGGCATGCAGATGTACACTCATCGAAATGACTGTTTTCTGGACAGGGTAGAGCTAAAGAAACAAAGAAAAAGGAAATTATGTGAAAGGGATAGAAGGTGCTGAAAATGATAAAAGAGAGAAACAACCAACACTCTTACGGCAGTTGGTAGCACTCCTCCAGGCTCCCAAGATGATCTGAGCATCCTGGCAAGCTGAAGCATATGCCTGGAGGGAGTTACACAGGGCAGAACGGTTTCCTTCCCGCACACACATGTTGTAGAGGCAGTTCCTGAAGAAAGGAGAGGGATTAACAGCTGTGTGGCAAGCCAGGAACGAGCCGTTTCCTAGGTCATTGATGTTTCCACACAGCCATGGGCTCTGGTACAGCCTTAAATCTGTACACATACGATACAAGTCCTCACAATCGCCATTGCATGTCAGATCATCCGCAATGGCTTTCCAGCCTTCAATAAACTGTTCGGGTGTATCGGCCTGCCTTCCGCTAGGTAGACGGAGGTCATCAATTGGATCTCCATTGAAGAAACCACAAAGACCACAGGTGGTGTTGTAAAAGAGAGTGGAGAGAGTGATGTTTAGCAGGCCCTGACGTGAGTATCGAGTGCGGACTAAACCACTCCACTCAATCACCGTGGTATTACCAGAGGACCGGTATATTATTAAAGGCTCCACTGGATGGACATAAGGAAGAAACGCTGGTTCACCGTTGACCTGGGTGGGGAGAAGAATTACGACATCATCAGCATGTCATACAATCAGCTAACTTGGTCTGAACAATATGTGAGAATATATTGAGGAACAATCAAAGCTACTGTACAAGTAATAATATTGCTATAGTGAGGTGTCCCAAGAAGGTATCTTTTTAAAAGCATCTTTTAGTTTCACAGACTTGGGAACTGACAATTTTTTTTTGCAGAGTAGAGGATATAAAAGTCACAACAAACCTTTATCAAGTCAAAATCTGAGCCACCTATCTGTGCTTCCAAATGTCCCACCCTAACGACCACTGGCCGTAGCCATGTAGGGCCCTTATTCACCAGCTTCCGGCCAATCTTCACCTCCACTGATGTAACATTTGCAGGCAAGCGTCCCAAAGTCTTCACCAAGTAGAATGAGCTTTCATCAGGGAACGGCATTGTGGACCCATCAAACGTAGCCAGTATTTGAGTCTGAGACAGCAAACAGGCTGCTTCGCGACGAGGGTAACATCCCAACAACCCAACTTCTGCTACACACACCTCGCCTTCACCACAAGAGTCATTGAGGCATGTTACTTCACCTGCCGGGCCACACACACAGCGCTGGGAGCATTCTTCACCCACCTCACCTCCTTCCCCTGCCCAGAAGGTCTCATTTAGGGCATAGTACAGGCCATCACGCTCACATCCACACTCAGAGCGACGGACGCAGCGGCTACCACTCAGCACATAGCCCTGGTCACACTGGCAGCCCTCAGTGCATGGATGGGTACAGTAGAGGTGAGACGTCAGGTCAGAGCAGGAGGCAGGACATGCACTCGTGCAGACTTGGTAGTGGCTGTTCTCAGGGCATGTCAATGCTAAGAGCCAATGGCAAATGGAAAAATGCAAGGTCAGTGGAAAAGAGAACATAGAAAGAACATACTGATGATAGAAAGTGAGAAAAGTATTTAATAATGCATACTTGATTTAACCTCTAAAAGAACTCTCTACGATGTCTGGACTTTACTGACACAGAATTAACCTTAATGTCACACCTGATATCACTCACCACAGAATGAGCGTGATCTCCAGGGTCGTATAGTGACTCCCAAGGCCTGGCATGCAAGTGCATACGCCTGTATAGCCTGGCACAGGGTGGTGATGTTATCACGATTGCTGCACATATCATAAACACAGCTGTACACAAATACTGTGGGGTCTACCACAGCTCTGCAGTCTCTGAAAGGCCCATCAGTCTTATTGATCAGCCCGCAGTAGTCTGAGCGAAAGTAGAACACTTCGGCTGCCGGTTCACACATGCTACAGTTCTGGGCACAGCCATCTGTACAACGAAAATCTGTGTCTTCAGCTCGCCAGCTACCACCCAGTTCCACTACGCTCTCTGCCAAAGAGCCATCTGGCAACACGGGATCATCGGCGGGGTCATCGTTGTAGTTACCACACAGACCACAAGTGTTGTTGAAATAAGAGCTGGGGAGGGAGATGGAGGCGTAGTGCAATCCGTCATAGGTCACCAAAAGACCAAAGTCTGTTTCCAAAGCGACAGCAACGCCAGATTGGTATACCTTGACAGCGCCTAGTTGAAGTTGAACAGGGAGAGTCTTTATCAAGCCATCCACCTGTAACAACAGAAACACAAAGTGAAAGACATTGAGAAAGGTTATATTGCCTGTGTCCTGCAAGAACAATTTAATCTACTAGGCTGCTATTCATACTGATTGCACAGTTGGTCAATTTAGTAGGAGTAACAGCTTCATATTTAAAGGACTGAAACTTGACGAAAGCTGACCTGCACAGTTCCCAGAGTCCCTTTGGGTAGTGTGACACGGTGGTTGTACACCTCTACTGTGACATCCCGTAGCCAGGACACAGTGGTCACACCACGGTTCTCATTCTTGGCCTCCACACTGAAGAAGGGCAAACCAGGCATTTCCCAGCATGGACGAGCCAACAGGTATGAGCAAGTACCCTGGATGGGAGATCAAGGAAATCACATACTTTTTAGCCTACAGTTCTATACAGAGCAAAGCAAAAAAAAATTAAAAAATCTAAAAAGTGATCAGCATGATACTCAGCTTTGTGATAGGATAAACTTGCTTCTAGCATAATCTCTGATAATGGATATCTTATGAACTGAATGTGTGTAATATGATGATCCTTATATTTTTTATGTTTCTTTGGAAATTTCAGACTTTACTATTTCCAGAAGCATCATGCACATTCAGTGAGCCAAGTGCACTTTGAATGCAACTTTCAGGGGAGAAAAAGTCACCCGTTCACACATTATTATTGGAGTTAGTCAGGATTTTTTTTTCATTTCCTCTGGCATAGAGTGAGCCAGGACTGCCAAAAGTGCTCCCCTAAAAACATTCCCTAACTATTACTGACCAGTTTTATGGAAATGGGATTTTAACCCTGTACTGTACCTGGAAATGATATAGAAATCCATCAAAAGTGTGGTAGTGGGGGTCTCCAAACACCACACAGGTGCTGGTACGGGTAGGCTGGCAGTAGTAAGCCCCCTCCACCTGTTCACAGGTCTCTAACTGACCACATGGAGTTTCTTGGCAGATGACCTCATTATTCAGATCAAGACATCTACATCGCTGAGTGCATTGGTCTGATAACCAAAAAACCTCCCCACGACGGTAAAACCGCCCTGAAAAAAAAGATTGCAGAGACACCGAAAAAGAAGAGAGAGTAAGATAAGGCATGAGGGGAACATGTTGAGTAAAAAGTGTACATGGTGTACATAAAAAACAAGGAGCACACATTTAAGATATAAGTAAAATATTAATTTAATGTATCAAATACCATGAAAACATGATATAATTATATAGTTTTTTTGTACCATTGTAGCTGCAGCCATTTGCTGGGTCTATCTGGTCGGCATCAATGCGGAAGAACCACCGTCCAGGCACGTTAACATTAGTGGTCTGTTCAATGTTGACCACTTCGTTCGAGCGTGATCCGGGAAGGTTCAAGAAATGGCTGACATCTCCACCATTAAAACCTGCCTAGAGAGGGTAATCATAGCAGAGAATGATAAAGAGTTATATCACATATATAAAACAGTTATATCACAGGGTGAGATTTCTGAGATTACCTGTGCTGTGGTTCCTCCCAGGCCCGTAAGAGGGTCTCCTCCACTAGCCGTGCCTGTGCTCCAGTTGATCTCTCCATAGTTAAACATAGCAAAATAAGCTTGGCCATCGGAGATCAAAACTGCCTGAAATGTATTTACCTGAAAAGAATGGGAAAGAAAAAAAAAGAATGATTACTCTCTTTTGTGTTGGTGGTGGTGATTATTGTGGTGATCACACAGTACATGCTGCTCATTAGCGCAGTTTTGATATTGGTCATGCAAATTAAACTCTTTTTGCCTCACCGGCGTTGTCTGGCTGCCTCCATAAAAGGTGACCTGATTCCAGGTAGCAATGAAGACCCAGGTGGCAGTGAAGGACACCATATTCTTCAAATACTTTCTGACATCCTGAGTGACCCTCTCCAGGATCTCTTGGTCTGTTGTCTCACGGTAGTACACATCCCCACGGATACCATTATGCACGTCAGCCCATAAAGGGGCAATGAAGGAACGGCTGTCACTGAGGGGAAAAGCCTCTGGAGTGAATTGACTCACCTGAATGTTGAAGGAGATCACTCCATTGTTGTTGACCTATTGGGAAATATAGGATGATGTGCTGTTACACAATTCACTGCTGAATTGAACACTTAAGACGTTGCATGGAGATTTGGGGTGATTTTTCTCACAGTTCTCGTCCATATTTTGGATACTTACATAAAGGGATCTAGAGGGCACATTGAAGAATATGAATGGAATTAGTAGTTGAATCTCTGGAGAACTGCCATCATCCATCTTAGGGGTTTCTAAATCCCTGTGAGCGGGTCCAAAGGGGTAGAGGGTATCCTGAGAAAAAGCTAAGCAGAGGAAAAGTAAATGTTGACAAAGAAATAGTTTCCAAAGCAAAAACGCATTGATCAGTTGGCCCTGTGAGGGTGTTTTGGAAAGATCAGGGGCGTAGACCAAAACCAGCAAAGCTGATGGTAAAATGTGCGATCTATTAGAATTCTATCAAGAAATTGAAAGTCGCACATTATCTAAAAAAGGCACATAAACTAAAAAGACTGAAGAAAAGAGGAGAAAACAATCTTGCACCAGCATTAACATATATTAAAATCTTTTTAAACTACTCATGACCACCTTTACTAGAATTTATCACGTTTTATTGTAGGCTTATTTATTGTGGTAAATTTTGTCTAACTTGTAGAATTTATAATAGATAATCTATTAAGGGAATAGATTTTTTCCCTATAGATTTATGTTGTAGATATTGTTTCTAAATGTGCAGGCTGTTGTTTTTCATAACAAATGCTATATAGATTAATAAAAAAAGGCATTATTGACCTGGTAATGATTAATAGGCTAGCTTTATTATAACAAATGCTACAGTTAAGAACTATGGTACATTTTCATAAGAGCAAGTACAAGTCCGAATCGAGAGCCATGTGTAAAATGATGAACTGTTAAGGAGTAAGAAATTAACAATATCAATATAAGAAAATGTTAAGTTAGATTGACTTCCCATGGCATGTTGAATTTTAACATTCTGTCAAACTATAGCCTGAGTGCCTAAAAAATATAAAATACATTATATATCCTATGTAAACAAGTAATTATGTTTGCAATTCATTGCAATTATGTTATCAACCAACTTTGATCGTGTGGATGATAGCACAAAAACCTTAATTTACACAGACTTGGAAAAGGTTTTGGGTTCTTATATTTATGTCACATTATTACATCATTACTTATTGATTAACTCTTTATTCAGTGCCTTGGCTCTTTTTGTCCATCAATCACTGTTACATCTAATGCTCAGGATGGGCTGTGGAAGCAGGAGAGGGTTTATAGGCAGTACTAAGAGGACATCACTTACCTCCTCTGGGAGCAAGGGTGCTGAAGAGCTGGAGAAGAGAGACTAAAGTGCCTGTTCTGACCATCCTAAACACCTGAGAAACATTGAAATATTCATTACAAAAAATAAGCAATGTTGTAGTGCCACCAGCCTTCCAAATATCAGTTATTTTAAGATTAAAAAAGAAAAAGAAAACCAGTAGTAGTATAATATATTTTTTAAGTATGATAATAAACCTATTTAAAGAAATAAACAACTAGGTCAAGACACATTTGTCTCCAATCTTCCCTGGTTTAAAGTGCAGTCTCCCAGGTCTCCCATGGGGGCATTCTGCCCCTTTCTCCCTCTCCATGGTGGGCCTGTTCGCCCTGAGCTGAAAAGGTTCTATTATGTGATGGAGAACAATGTGTTGGGATCACATTCTCTAGCACTACCGTGTGAGTGGGCTATGGTGCTGCAGTTCCAGGCCTCCACAGCGCCAATGAGCCCGCGGCTGGG